AACAACTAGGAGGAGGAGCACAGCCACTTTGTTAGAATCTTCTTTGTAACCTGAGAAGGGCTGAATAACATGCCAGGTTAAAATAACTAAAAGCAACTGGAGGAAGATTTGTGCCTAATGTAAAAGCTAATGAAGAGGGCTGAGACTATAGGACTGGAAGAAAAAACAAAACAAAACCCAAATCACTGAAACATGTAGGGAAAGAATGAAAGAAACTTTCTCCCACCTCCACCCAGCAATCTGGACTCTAATGTTGGATGCCCAACTGAATATTCTACTTCATTTGACATTGGACCATATATAAGGTTAGAGTTAGGGTAGTAAAGAGTTTTATTTAAGTTAGGATACAAAGTTCTAGTCTCTAGTCCTCAACAGAGGATACTGATCCTAGAATGTCAAACCAAGACTTTTTACAGTGAAGAAAAATGTAATGAATTCATGTTTAAACCATAGTTTATTTTTGGTTTCATATTATGTGCAGTGAGGCTACTGAAATTAACAGTGGGAAGTAGCTTTGGATAGAAAGAGTCTGGGTAACAAAAATAGCAAAACAATTTGCGTCAAGATATCTAGTCATCTTATGACTCTGTGGTTAACAGCAGTAAACTTAGGACTTCCAAACTCATACTTTAACAAAACTAATTTTAATATCAATAGCTATTTTATTTATGTTGTTAACACATTATTAATGTTGCTTATACACACACACACACACACACAAACAACTCTTTTATTAATGCTAATATATTTTCTTTTCTTTAATCTCACTTCTATAGTCATAGGATAATAAAGGAAAAATATATCACAAGTAGATTTAATATACAAATTTACTTCACTACACATAAAACATGTGAAATATTTGCCTCAGTGTATTGACAAGTTTAGAAAATACATTATTTGGGGATGATGCAAATTTAGTGTAGCAAGACTGAGTCAGAGGACTGTTTTATTTTCCGCATACAGATCTTAAGAAGTCAAGAAAACAGATGAAAACTATGTGCTTTTAGTTAGCCTCATCTAAAACAAGTTACTTTTTATTTTGACCAACTTGTAATTAAATAAATATGGAATTGTTAGAAACTGTCAAACTTCATGCCATATATGACAATAAATCTCAAACACGCAGGATATCAATTTTGCAAAAGCTTCGCTGACTCAACATGGCTTAAAGAAGTTGCTTTACTGCAAACAAGAAAGAAGTCATATAGAGAAAGCTGTTGGGAGTCAGGCAGCATATAAGTTTAATAAATAATATTTATTTATTTAATACAAAGATATATCTATCCCAGAACACAGAAATCAAACCACACACACACACATACAGACACCAGCTCTAGGGTTTAAATCCTTAACCTTTTCCTCTTAGCCTTTCAAGTCAATGGATGTTTGGTTGTTGTTTTTTTCCAGACCTGGGATTAGGTGACCCCTGCTCAATGTTTATACAACAGTTCTTTCTGGTCTGAGCACCCACTGATCCTAACCCCATCAATTTCAGCCCTTAGAGATATTCTAAATTTGCTCCATTTTCTGGAAGAAAGGAGTTCTAGTTTGATTTAAAAGTTACTTTTGAATTCTCAGAATACCCAACAGTTTATCAATATCTGTAACAAAGCTTGGGATAGCATTTGTCCCAATCTATTTGTAAGCTCACCAGTTATTGATCTCTTACCTACTGAGAACAGTTAGTGTATGTGCTCTCCGAAGAGCAGTCGTAGTCTCTTTTGGAGTAACAACAAGCAAGTTGTCCAACAAGCCACACACAGCTGATAGGAGAGGGGGTGTGACTACCGCACACTGATTAGGTCTAGTGACAGTCTCTGGGGAATCATGTGGACTTGAAGATGCTGTTGTGGTTGTGTCACTCTGACCTAGAACACAAGATTCAAGAGAAAATAAGCTACATGAAATGTGGATTCATATAAAACGCTGAGATACATTCCTCACCTAGACATGAACAACAGAGAATCAGTCAATTCTATTTGTTACGTGAAGCTTCAACAAATTATTGTACCTATTGTTGCCATAAAGACCCAAGCAGCCAGATGCTGTTTCTTAAACTGAAGATTCCTCTGTTAGGATAAATAGGACAATACACAACAGTCCAGTAAGAAGCAACAAGAATAGGGTAACAGAGGCCCAGACAATTTTGTCCATTGGGAACATTTAAAGTTGTAAAACACATTGTATTTCAAAACAGAGCTGCTGATATCTGAAAGGTATGCACAGCTAATATTTTTGTTTTTCCACCCCATGCCTTGAATGCCTGAGAATTTCAAAAATGAGCTACCAGGTGATGGCTGCGGTTTGGACAACCCATTCCAGAATCCCTAGCATGCACTGTGCATGATTAAGAAATGACATTGCTCAATATAGTTCTCAAGAGCATCCAACCTTGAGCTATGAATCGGTTCACTGCCACATCACGAATGAGACTAACAGCTGGTGAAGAGGGTGCTTCTAGTTCCATAGCACATCCCGGTGATGGCGATACTGAAATTATCTGAGAAGAACCAAGGTTAGCAGTTTATTTATTCAATGTGTATTTTTGTTTATTCTTTAGCTGATGTACCCCACTTTTTCACCCAAATGGTGCTCATGATGGCTAGCTGCGGTAAAAAAAAAAAAAAGATAAAACTGGGACTATATTAAAATAAAACCAGACTAATGCAATTCAAAGCACAGAGTAGAAACAAAGCAAGAAAATTGCACAGAACTCAGTCAATTAAAACATCTCAGCAAAATTTTAGAAAACTAAGGAGCCACTTGTTGGTCAAAATAATAATGTCTTTACTTGCAAGTAGAAAAGTAGAGAGGGAAAGAGCCCAGCTTCCTTTGGCAGTGAGTTTGAAAGCCTGGGAAAGCCAGACATTGAGAGGAAATGCTGCCATCTCCATCCCCACCCTCACATTCCAAACAAATACACTTGGCATGGGAAGAAGACAGAGAGGAAGATATTTTCTGAAGACTACTCTAGAGAATATGATGCCTCAAATAGCCTCTGTGCGTGTGTGTGTTGTGTGTGCACACACACACCTTCAGGTCAGTGTTGATTCCTGGTGACTGTATGGACTATTCCCTACAGTTTTCTTGGCAAGATTTTTGGAAGTGGTTTGCCACTGCCTTCTTCTTCCTAGTTCTGAAAGAGAGTGACTGCCCCAAGATTACCTAGCTGGCTTCATGCCTAAGGCAGGATTAGAAATAATGGTCTCCTGGTTTCTAGCTTGGTACTTTCGCCACTATACCAAACTCTTTCAAATAGTCTATAGGGCATTATAGGTCATAATCACCAAATTAAATTGTCTAGAAACAGATGGTGACTGTATATGAAACATGGTGTTTGGTCATGTAGTCTTAGTATATTTAACCTATAAAAAACCTCATCAAATGCATGGGACATTGGGACTCATCCATGGACACCACGGAGGCCAAGCCCAATCAGCTCTGTTGGTGTCATGGAAAGCTCCCACTTGGACTCAGAGCCAGAGTTTGAGGGGCAGGAGCTTCCAGAGCTGCAAGCAGAAGAGGAACCAGGGCAGTCGGAGGCATCAGATGGACGGCTGGCTGTGCAATCGGAGAAGCTGGGGCAGGGCAGCGAAGCACAGAACCAGCTGGATCCACTCTCTGATAATGAGGCGGAGAGGTTACGACCACCCGATGCCAGAGTGTGGCGGGTGGAGAAAAGAGTTCAGCAGAGATGCTCAGTGAAGCTACTCATGAGAAGGGAATCTCACCCTCAGTAATGAACAACACCGGGGTGGCTTTTAGAAAAGAGGCTTGGCAAACTGGTGTCTCTTTGATAGCAACCACTGTCTGGTTACCCTGCTTCGTGTCCTGCTGTTTTGTGATACCTAACCCAGACTGACTGCCAAACCCCGATCCTTGTTTGACTTCGGACTTCACTCAACAAGTCTTCCCCGTTTGCTGTGTGTTCAACCCTATTGACAGGCAAGCTGTATAGACTCTGGGACTAACTGGAAATTTGTATCTGTATCATACTGTTTAGTAAAAAAAGGAAACAAACTCCTCCATGTGTATGCATGTGGGGCAGGATCAGGACAGTTGGAAAGTAAATTGGGTCTCCTTCATAAAACTAGGGGTAAGGATTTGTAATAAAACCTCTTATTTAAGTGCAATTGTAGTTCTAGAACCTCACAGAATGGATGGGAATTCCTTTGCAACACAATGCAACCCAAATGCTCTCTCCTGTTTGTTAACTGTGCAACAAGGAGCAAGAGAGCCATTTAAGGCACTTTCAATTTAATTAATAACTTTTGCCGATTAAGCACTATGCTGTTTAAAGCATTTCCTTTCCCACCTTGTTACACATGGGAAATAAGATGTTTTCACTTCTATTATCTGAGAAGCCTATGGAGACATCATAGGGCCCTGAAGCATGCTATAAATAACAAAAGATGCTACAGCCTTTTGCTTTTCTTTTCAGCATGCCAAATTCTTGATGATGATGATGATGAAATTAAAGAATCTAGCATAGAGCTAGTCAAACACAAAGAAAAGTGTCTGTGTGCACAGTGGTGGCCATGGGCACATTACTGCTCCAGAGAACCTAGCAAGGTTACTTCAGAGAACCTATCTGTCAGGCTTCACCCTATCACTTAGGAAAGCTCACAAGAATGCCAAATAATATTTATTAGTACTATTTATAGAAAAAGTTTAGAAGCCATAAGCAAGGAATGTCATCAACTTCTGTGATTCAAAAACAGTCACTAGCTAGTGTGAGAGTTCTCACATGGTTGGTGAAAAACAGTATGATAGCAAATCTGACCATTGCAAAAACAAAGGACAGATGGAAACCAGTCCATTTGGGAGAGAGGCCAAGTTTTCCATTCCAAAAGGCCAGGAGGAAAATAAAGCAGTTTGAATGTTGATTCTGTATAAATGGCTTGTTCTTGAAGGAAAGAGAGGAAATGTGAATAAACTAATTATGTCTGGTCACTTTAAAAGTAAAGTCTAAATGTAAAACAATTACCTACATGAGTCAATTGTCTTGGGGGGAAAAAAAAACGGTTTGCCCTACCATCAATAGTTAATGATCGTTTGCATAATGTCAAATATGGAAACCATTCTAGAAATTATTAGTAGAAACAATTCTAATACTAGAAAACATTGTAGCGTGCAATAACAGAATTAGGCTGTTTTAGACAGAGATACCTTTCTGGAAATGAAAGCATTTTTACTTTTCCTACCAAAAATTACTGGATGCCTCCCACACTGAAAAAATCCACATATTTTTAGCATTGCCTGCTGAAAAGCAGAAACAGAGCTAGTATAATGGAATCCTAGTTCTCCAGACTATCCCATTTCACTGTATGTTCATGACACAAACAACTTATACTATACTCACCCAAGTGTCAGAAGTTGACCGAGAGCTTGGAGATTGGCTTTCACCACTCTGGACTCTCCAAGCAGAAAGAGAATCTTCAAAGTCTGGAAAGGGAAAATGGAGAGGGAGGGAATCCATGCTTATCAAAAGCTCATTATTTATTCTTGCCACCAACAGATTTTCAGCCTCTTGGAACATTTCCTGTCATTTCAAGATAAGCCATACCTCCTCCATAATTCCAAGAGCAAGAGTAAACCTAGCTTCTTCTTCCCTGCAATAGTGAGTTACAGTGTCCAAGATACCCAAGAATAAGTTGGGTCATCCCTAAGCCTCATCCAAGCAGCCACAGTTTGTAGTTTGGCTAATAAGGCTAAACAAAACATGACTGACCTAAACTAGACTTCCCCACCCCCAAATTATTTTTAACTTTTAAACAACCCCCTTTCATTACCCAGTAAGCAAAAGTCAACACTGCATGAAATGCTTATAATGGGTTTTCTTTATAAATATAGCAATGTTTTCAATTGTTTTTTTCAATATTCTGTCTAACTTCTGCATCTTGAATTGTGAAGCTCAAGTGTGGGACATGGTAATTAATCTTCACTAATAAGCATTTTGTGCCATAAAACTGATGAGAAAATGTTATTTATAATCATATGCCCCGAGATACAGATTTACCCAACAGCGAATAGACGTAAGGTGAAGGTACACTTGATTCAGCAAGGAGGGGGGAAGGGGGGATGCTGACTGGAACGAACAGAGCCACAAGGAGTTCCCTATTATTTTAAACAAGAGACAGCAATAAGCCACCAGCTGTTTGCTTAGTGTATCCAGTCTAATTGTCTGCCAAACAAATCTCCATGATGCACTGAGAATTGATAATTTCCACAATGTTCTCTTCAAAGTACACATATGAAGTGGCCCTTGCTCTCTATGGAGCGCTGCCAACAATTCTCATGAAATGAAAAAGTATTTCATAAACCCAGTATGGAATTTCTCACAGGACGTCATTAACACAGCAACAAAGAATAGAGAAATAAATTGTCAGTATAATCCCAAAGCTCGTATCTTGCCCTTTTCAGCCTCTTCCTTTCTTTACATTACAGTTGTATTCTACTTAAAGTTCTAATTAATATATACATTTTAGAAATTCCTACATTTAATTATTCTTCTTCACAAAGAGAAAGAATAAATTACCTGGGTACCTTTTCCACCTCCAACTATACACACACATTTTTTAAAAAAAATCTAATTGTACCCTGAACACTGAGCCAGATAAAAGAGTAAGGTTTTGTTTACTTTAGAAATGCACAAGTATTGTAACTTTACATACTCACAGAGGATAATATTTTAGATTGTCACATAATTAAAACTGCAATCATGGGAAGAAACTATTGAGAACTTAGAGAAGAACAGTGAGATTCACACTATGTGAATTCTTGGAAATAGCACTTACCATTCATGCCATTCTTTGCTGATACCAGGCAATCTCCCACAGAAAAATCCACATCAAATGTATACCGACCCAGGTAGCACCCCTTCACCATCTCATTCAAATGCTCATAGAAGTGGCAGTGGTATAGCAAGGCCTGCAGAGCAGGTTTTCCAGTCAGAGATAGGCCAGATCCTTCATCATGTACACAAGGCCCCTGGAAGGAGGGAGGGAGGGAGGGAGGGGAGGGACAAAAAGTTCTCCTTTTACATTACAGCTTCCCATCCTATGACTCAAGGGTAGGGTACCAGGGATGAAATTTCCTCCTCTCCCTCTTTTCAATTTTGAGGACTTTGTGTTTATAGGTAGTCCTTGCTTAGTGACCACAACTGGGACCAGCAACTCCATCGCTCAGCGATGCAGTCACTAAGCAAAGCATCCCATGACTGCAACGGACTTACGTCACTTCCCATTTTGTCATTAAGTGAGTCACCATGGTTTGTTAAGCAAGACATCATTGGACCACTGCTTGCAATTTTACTGCTGGCTTCTCCACTGACTCTGCTTGTCAGAAGCTGGTTGTGAAGCAAATGGAGATCACATGACCAGAGGACACTGTGACAGTCATAAATGTGAGGAATGGTCGTAAAGTTACTTTTTCAGTGCCATAGTAATTTTGAACAATCACTAAACAGGGCAGTTGTTAAGCAAGGTCTACCAGCACTTTGTAACTTTACTGTTTAAATGGAAAACCATACCACTGATTGTTGATAGTCTGATGTCAAATTTGCCAATTCGGGAACATGAAAATCTCACATCTTTCATCACACAGTGAATCTGGGCGAGGATCTGTAAATTGTGAATCCATGAAAATGCAGGTAAGCTGCAATTTACCGCTTATTGGAAAAAAATTATCTCCTCATGGATCTTCATTTTCATTTTTTTGAAAGCTAACTTCCAAGCTCTTAATTGTGGTATAATTGTAATTGTGGAATTCAAGCAAACTTCAACTTTTTTTATAATTTGGAGGACTTGACTCAGAATTTAAACACTGTTTCTTTTTTCTCCTTCCCCTGTTCTAGTTTTAACAGATATTTTAGGATGTTTTTGAAAAACATTGAATAAAATATGGTTGAGAGTCAGTCTGGTGTTGTGGTTAAGGCATCACGCTGGAAACTGGGAGACCATGGGTTCTAGTCCCACCTTAGGCACAAAGCCATCTGGGTGACCCTGGGCCAGTCACTCTCTGTCAGCCCTGGGAAGGAAGCAATGGCAAACCACTTCTGAAAAGCCTTGCCAAGAAAACTGCAGGGACTTGTCCAGGCAGTTGCCAGGAGTGAAAAACTGACTCAAAGGCACACACACACACACAC